TTTGGCGTACCAAACGCGGGACGGAACGCCTCGTCCCGTTCCGTCCCGTCCCGTCCCACGTACCAAACGCACTCATAGAGCACCGAGTGTGATCCCATGCGGATGATTGTATTTACTTAACTGCGCGCGATCTGGTGGGAATCCGCCACGTATTGGGGTCCACAATTTGGAAGATTACTGATGAATACGGATTCTCTTTGTGAGAATTTTGAAGATCCGTTAATCATATATCGTATGATCAGAAATTATTTTAAATATTTTTATTTAAAATTAAATACAAACAATACCTGACAAAAACTAATCATATAATATATGATGAACGAATATAATTTACGAATCCTTAATATTCTCACCAAAAGATCTCCGATCCTGATGGATTACCGATGACGTGGTGAAAAGTGAAAACTGCTTGAGTGGAGCTGTTCCAGAGGATCCAAAGGTATTTTGCCATGTGCCTGGTTAATGAAGTTTCCGCGAAAGTGCTTTTTTTTTTTTTTTTTTTTAAATTATAATAATTGTTCATTAACTACTTTACAATTATCATTCAACTAAAAATTCATGACCATTAGCTCTTAACTTATCAAAACATATATTTATGACATTTTTGTCAACTCCATCAGATTTTCGGTCAAAATGAGTTGTGTTGGAAAACTCATTGCTGCAATTAGGTTAAAATTGAAAGATCATTACTACAATTATGTTAAATTGACATACCATTCTTCTAATTGGGTTAAAGTTAATGAATCATTTCTCCAATTGGATTAAAATTGAGGCACAATTCTATCAATTTTCTCACTTAATTTCCCATATTTGCCCCTTGATTCAGCCTCACATGCATGACATGTGATTCATTTTTATAGAAGTTCTAATAGAATTGACAAAAATAATCATAACTGCACATCTTGATGAATTAAATGACTAATGGTCACAAATTTTTAGTTGAGATATCATTACTCCAATTGAGTTAAAATTAAGAGACCATTGCTATAATTTCATCTCTTGTTTTTGGTTTTTTTTTTAGCAAATGCTATGGATACTATCTACTTAGACCACATTTATATGTCATATGATGTGTTGTTAATAAAAAAATATAAGTTAGTTAATTAAGCACTTAAATGATAATTCAACTCATGTGTTATAAAATATAGTCCAAATAAATAGTATATGTATCATTATTTTTTTATCAGTGTTGTCATTGAACTCTCTCCACATCTTTTGCCTCACCAGTGATAAACTTCGAAGTTCCATGAGTGTGTTTCAACTTGGGTTTACATTTACAAAATGAACATGGTCAACTTGTAATTTTAAATCGGTGTGTAAGATGCATATATGCTTAAACAATTAGATTAAAATTATATAAATTCAAACGTCTAATATACCGATGCGTTTTAGAATTTTCGAGTATCAGTTTATTTATAATCCAAGTTCAACTCTTTTCAACACATTACTTGAGAAAGTGAGATTGATATTTATTTCAACATTTTTAAAATATTATTTCTGGTCCATGTCACAAACCTTTCTTGATTTTTTCAGTTAAATTTGTGACGAAGGTGAAGGTGTGGTGGGGAAAAGGATCCTCGCCAAATCATTTTTTTGAATATTCGGAAAATTTCGTGATTATGGTTATTCATCGTACATTTCAATTTTCGTTATATACTATTTATAATTTTAAATAATTTATAATCGCACGATATACGATGACCGATTATAATCACAGAAACCCTGGATTACCAAGAAAATGATCCGGTGTGGTTGTTTTTTAGAGTGGAAAAAGACAAAGTAATGATCAAGGCAAGTAGGCTAAGGATGTGAGGTGGTGTAACTGTCACATGCTACTCCCTGTCTTTATTTGTCCTTACAATCTTTATTATCATTTATTTTTCTATTATTTACATACTGCTAAAGTCAATAAAATAAAGGAGTTTTAACGAAAAGTTTGCAGTACTGTTCACTTTACCGAAAAATTATATTTTTACACTAAAAAGTCAAATCTTGTACTATTCACTGTACCATTTATTTTGTTCTTATCGTTAAAACTCAAAGTTTTCAAGCACTTTTCATTAGTTTTCCTATAAAATAAAGCATTTTTCAGATTTCTGTAAAATGAGTGAGTGTGTGAGGATAATCTGTTTTTTTTTTTTTTTTTTTTCCTTTTCGAAATCTGAAGTATCTCGCGCTTGAAGAGTAGGACCAATCCACAATGGGTTCCGAAAAGACTTAATTCTCAGTGAGGAAATCTTGTTAATTGGTTCATTGGGTGAGCAAATTACACTTATGGGGTGAATATCACATATAATCCTTCGTAACTCCTATTGCTATATTTCTATGTTGTATTATATCTAAATTATGATGCAACATAACATGCTTAATTACTTAATATAACAGAATATGTAGAAGTAATAATGCGTTTTTAGCCTATTTAACATGTTATGCGATGAAACTGAATCACTCATTGACTCGTCAATGTCGTCATTTTGCTAACTTGTATGTGACTCAAGATTAAAAAGTTCGTAATTTGAACTTTTGTTATCATTATAATATTATTTTTTATCCAAAATTTAGTAATAACTAAACTCATTTAAATACGGAAAATAAGATTCAAACTCGAGTTTGTATGAAATATAACTTCTATTATTATTACGATTAATTTTGGGAATAACTAGGATTTTCCCCGCTAAATGAAATTAAAATATCATTATAAAAAATGGAGCTGTTATTGACACTCTCAAAATTTCAATCTACACTCTATCTATATTTTTAATTTATCTATTTTAATTATTTTAATGTGATTTCCTATTTTACCCCTATATTACTTTTAATGTCTACAATCTTGAAAACCTCATTACGTATGATGACATAAATATGGGTAAATATTTATAGGGAGTTGTAAAAACCTTTTGGGCTCTAGAAGCAAGTAATCTTTTGATGTTGAGTATGAGTATATATGCAAAAGAATCTAGCTCCATATAGAATTAGTGGTTGCTTTATCAAGTCAACCATTTCTTTGTCCCCGAAATTTTTTCCTCTTAGTCTGAGCAAAATTTTTCTTTTTTTTTTTTGGGTAATTCATGGATGAACAACCATATATGGACATGATACTACTGGAAAGTTTTGACAAAATTTACAATGGTGAAATGGAAGAAATGTTAGACTTGAGTAATCCTTCTAACTCTTTTGAATCAAATTTTCATGGTATGCCTTCGCATGACTTTTTTTTTTTATTTACTCGTTTAATTATTTTTAGTATTATAGGTGTTTCATTATGAGTTTGAACATATTTGTATTTCAATCTCAATAACATGAATTAAATATTCAATTTCATGGATTGTAATTGGGGTTTTCCATTAGACAAATTTATTTGTTGGTGCAATGCAATTTCATGAATAAGTTTTGTTGTTGCTGCCCTTTGAATGCTTGTTTTTTTTAGCTTGATTTGCTTTTCATGTAATGAGTTGTACCCTCTTATCAATTGACTTCTCATTCGACCAACTTCTTTTGTTTTATTAACTAGTATGATTGCTTCCATTGTTAGTAAGTTACTGTATATTATGTTGAACTAAATGGTTCACATGCTATAAAACTAAGTTTATTTTTATCTAGTAGAGATCAGTGAACATGACACAATTCTCTCTTTGACTGAAAAAGAACTTTCAAAGTCGGGTTGAACTCCTTGGTATTGTTTGTGAAATTGCATTAAAGCAAAGGGTATGCAACTGTTATTCGGAGATCGAAGGTTGATAAATATGTTATCATTGGTTGTGATAGAGGTGGTAATTATTGAAATACCAATCTTTCGTTAGAGGACAAGAAAAGGAGAACAACATCTCGATTGATATATTGTCCTTTTGAAATTTGGGTAAAGAAGAAACAAGAAGGATTTTGGAAGGTGGACATAAAAAATTTGTCACATAACCATGATCCTTCAGCTGACATGTCTGGGCATCTCTATTGTCGTCGGTTTTCAGAAGACGAAATCTTGCGCATTAAACAAATGACTATGGCTAGTATACCACCTCGCCAGATTCTTTCTTCACTTTGTCAAAGTAATCCTAATCTTCAAGCAATTTCTCAAAGTGTCTATAATGAAAGGTATAAGATGATGAAGCAAAGCTTAGGAGGACGTAAGGTTGTTCAAGCCTTGTTGGACGAACTTGGTCAAGGTGGTTTCACTTATAACATTGAGTATGACCAAAATGGTCATTTGACTCATTTGTTCTTGGCCAATCCCATTTCAATTGCACTAAGAGCTACTCAAATGTTTTTGTGATGGATTGCACCTATAAGACTAATAAGTACAAGATTGTAAGTCTCATTTTGAAAACGAAGATGACAACGTTCACCAAGCGTTTTGAGATTAATTCCAGTGAAAAAATTCGGCTGCTAACTACTAAACAACTATTATAAGCGGACAACATTCACCAAGCGTTTTGAGATTAATTCTCTCTTTTTTCGTGTTTTGATGCCTCACAACTGAACAAGACATGATAGCATATATTTTCTATGTTAGTAAACCGCTCGTGTGCGTTGGGCCCTCTCTTGTTTTAAAATAATTGAAAGTTTTTAGTGAAATTGATTTTGGGTTCTAAAAATGTTTTTAAGTGCTTTTTGAAAGAAACATCAGATATGTACTTCTTGCTTCTAGGATCTACTTTGATTTCTATTAAGTATTGGTTTCAAAAAATGTTTTCAACCGTTTTAAAAGCACTTCTAAACGATATTACTTAGTTGGAAACAAACAATTTTTATCAACGCATTTGAATCTATTAAGAACACATTTCAACCAATTCCGTAAATATAAATTTGTATCAAATTATAAATAGTAACTAACCCCAATACTAAAGAATAGAAAATACTCAAATTAGCAAATCTCAAATATATATCTTTGATCATGAGATAAAATTTTCACCTCCCACCTGCAGTTTGAGTATGTATTTGTCAATAAATAATTTCTTTTTGACCAATGCGTGATAAGGGGTGAAATTGGAACTTTGTTACCCATTATTCATTAGAATACTTGGGTTTAGTTATGAAAAAGCTGGGTTCAAAAGGGCACACTCAGTCGCTCACACACCTCCCTTCACTGTTTCACATACTGTTTTCTCTGCCTTATCTGCTCCTCCTCCTCCATCCATGACTACTCTAAGCACTCTCTTCCGCCTCCACACTCCGCCGTCAAACCCACCACTCTCCCACACCTCTCCGCACCCCCTCCGCCTCTCCTGCTCCTTCAAACCCACAAAACCCCCCAAACCACCTTCTCTATCAGCCTCAACACCGCCGCCGCCGCCCGCCAGAGACAGAGTCATAGACTTCGGAAAACACAAGGGCAAGATGCTGGGCACCCTCCCTTCTGCCTACCTCAAGTGGGTCTCCAAAAATCTCCGCGCTCGCGACTTCGAGGACTGGGCCAAGCTCGCCGACCAGGTCCTCGACGACGCCATTTACCGGGACCGGATCGAGTGGGAGCTGGCGGAGAACGTCCTGAACGGAAATCGGAGGAATTCTATCGCCGCGGGTGGAGTTTCGGAGCTGTTGGAGATCAGCGAGAGGTTCGGTTGGGATAATGAGGACAAAATTGGGTGGAGCAGGGTGAACTTTGAGCTTTTGGGGACGTCGAAAGGGGGGAGAATTCCGAGGAGGAGTGAGAAGGAGGGAGGAGAGAGAAGGGAGGAGAGGGGGAGGGGGAGGGAAGAGGAGAAGGAGGTAGTTGAGGATTTGGGGGAGGTCGGAGAGAGGCGGAGGGAGAGGAGAGTGAGGGTGAGGCAGAGAATGAGGAGGGAGGAGAAGTTGGGGATTTTTGAAAAGAGTGGGGGCAGTGTTGGAAATGGAGTTGGGTTAGGGAGGGAGAAAGAGAGTGGCGGTGAGGATTGTATGGTGGAGAATTCGAAACGGTTTCCTGGACGTGAAGGTCTGTTGAAAATGGCATACAGTAGAAGAATGGGGAGATTTTAGTAAGGAACTTACCACTCTAAAAAATTGATTCTATACTTTTTTTTTTTTTTTTTAGTAGTGTATTTTTCTTTCTAATTATATAAAATTAGAATGTAAAATAAGATTTTTAAAGTGCCAATAACAATTTCGTAATCTTATTTTTCTTCGTTTTCCTAAGTTGAGTAAAAATGTATTTAGGATTTTGAGAATTTTGAGAAATTTGACTGGATTTATATATTCATACATTTTGATGAAATTTAATTGAATTCTAGAAATTGAGTGTAAAATTTTCAATCAATGAGATTTGTGATTGTTTAAAATACACTATAAAATCTCTTAACTTCCTTTAGAATTTTAGATTCCTCAGCTTTTTAAAATTATTTAAAATCAATTCTAAATTAGATAACATCTAAAATATTTTAAAATTTCTAATTGAATGCATTGAGATTTCTTTCAATTTTGATACTCTTTTAAAATCATATTAAAATAATTAAAATTCTCAAAATCCTAATTAAATATATCCAAAGATTATAGATTGGATTGTGTTTCTCATCATCCATAGGTTTTTCAATTTAGATTTTGAATTCATATTTAAAATTTATGTTGAAAAATAGTGAAATAGAATTTGTAAATTTTGGTCACATGATGATCATGGTATCAATGAAAGATATAAATGGAAAAATAAGTGCCGCCTCACGATCTTGAGATTGATCTTCGTCATTCATGTGCGATCTAAGACCAACATAATTGTTTACAACTGATTCTTGCATTTTCCAAATAGGAATTCAAAGATTTAACATGGTTGTTTAAGCGCATGTTCAAAGGAGATGTCAAATTTAAAACGCCAAAATGAAATTTGATAACCTATGTGGCAATTTAACGTTTTGTATAACTTTTTGTTCCAACTGATATGTTAAATAATAATGTAATTCTAAATTATTATTTTTATCTTTTTGTGGGGTCCAATTATTGAGATAACCAATCAAATATTTGTAATACACAATAACATTTATTATATATTGCATCACATTTATTAAAAAATTATTAAATGAATTTGAGACCTGTTGTCAAATTTGACAACAGAAGGCCTTGCCTTCAAATAACTGAGCGCCAAGTAAGAAACTGAAGGCTCGGTTGGAAAGATTTTGTTGTCATTTTTTACTGTTTTATGTCTATGTGGCAATTTTGACATCTCATTTGGAGATGCTCTAGGACTATCAATTACTATACATATCAATGATGTCATAGAACAATATAGTTCAATTTTTACCTAACCAAACCATCTCAGTTATAGTTAATAGTTTAAAACCACATTCTTTTCTTTTTAGTATTCATCTTCACTTATAAGTTAGGTCAATTCTTGTCAAAAAATGAATTTGAACTACTTTATTGCTAATCCATTGTGAGGCTTAGCCCATTTCCCCGCCCCCTTAATGTAGATAATATAGTTTGTTAAAAAAAAAAAAAGAACCACATTCTTTTCTAATTGTGTAATTTTAGTCATACAATCCCAAATTTACAAATAAAAGATGATATGCAAAGATAAATAAACTAAGAAAAGGATGATTTAGTTTTGTGTGAAGTGATTTAAAGGCGACCAACATCCTGAATGAACCGAACCAATACACCTTGGTTCGGTTTGGTTGTGAAAGCACTCGAATTTTCGATAATCAAAACCAACCAAACTAACAATTTCGATTTGAATTTGGGCAGTTCGACCAGTTTGTTGTATGGTAGGTGAGTTCACTTGTATAACAATTATAGACGGTAGGTCACATCGTTTTCTCATCCGAGAATCTAACATACGGTTGGTAGAAGCCAACAAAAGGAATACATAGCCAACCCATCTACGTGCATCCTACGAGGCATAAAAATATGCCAATTGTGCAATGCATTTACATGTACTCGGCACATAATGTTGTATTATTATTTCAGTCAATGTATGAAGTATGTTTATTTTATGTTAATATATTTTAGAAGAAAGACACTTTAATCTTGTCTTCCACTTATATTTATGTGAAAAAATAACATTACTTGACTCTGTTCGTGCTCGGTAAACAAAAATTCTCCAATTTTACAAACACAGACTACTCGGACCTAGTAACTCAAATTTATTACCCAAAAACGAATAATGATGGAAAAATATATAATATATAAAATATAAAATGTTATAACGCTTTAATCGAAAAAAAATAGATATTTTTAAATACAATTATATTATTTTTTATGGAAATTCAAGTGAAAATTACAAGAGAGATCTGACGTCACTCACCTAAAACAACCCTCTAAGCAGAGGAAAGCAGGAGCCTTGTCTTTCTTCTTCCACTGAAACATTCAGCAGAAAATTCGGGCAAATTTATAAAATAAAATAAAAAACCCTTTGAGCTGAAAAGCTCACTCCTTCCCCTCAGTCTCTCAGGTAATATAATTCCTTATCACTCCCTTCCTTTTCTTCTCGAATTATTTTGGACATATATAATCTTTGTTTTACAGTCGTACCCACTGCCCAAGGGTCCCGCTTTACGCAGGTTATGTTGATCAAACACTAATCTTTCATTTGTTTGTTGGATTAAGTAGCTATCTTAATTTGGGTTTTCATTTTTCAGCTGAAATTTTAATAAAATATTATGTGAAATCAACAGATTATGGTATTCTGAATTGTTTCAGTTCTGCTTAATCGTGTAATTTGAAAGAGTAACAAGTATTTGGTGGCTTGGTTCTGTGATTTTCCACTATCTGGTGGCTCAAGTGTTTCCTTTTTGTGTCTTCTGTTTTTGCTTATTATCTGGTATTCAGGTGAGTTTTAGCAGAATTGGATTGATTTTGATGAAGACAAATATAGGTTACTTTGTATTTTTGTTTTAGTTTCTGCAAGAGTTTCTGGGACAACGTTGTATATCTCGAGAACTAACAAAGTTAATCCTTATGTTTTTATCGTCTCATTAGAGTGTTGTCTTGTTTCTTTAAGCTGGAACAAGTTGGGAAGAATTTGTTTTTGTATATTGCGATTTTCAATGTTGAAGTTAGTCTGTGCCCTGGTTCCTTGCAAAGACTTAGACCCGAGGGCTGAAGACTCGACTTTCTATCCATTATAATCTAGTCTTTTACTGTAAACATTTTAGTAATGGTTGTTTCTTTGTTCAATGTAAAAGAGTAAAGTAATTGTGATCCTTGTTTTCTTTTCAAGCGAGGTAAACTATAAATGCTCGGTTTTAAAAAACCGTAAGTTAACCTTCAAATAATGTGAATCCTTCCCCTTGTCTAATGTTCTATTCTGCCTGTCTTTGTTCCTTCCGTTCTGCTCAATTCAAGTGACTCCTTTTGTCATTACATTGTTCATTCATCTTCCTTCCATCAGTTTCTTTTTTCCAATTCACCCCTTTTGGATGATGGATTGGTTCGTTCTTTCAATAGCTTCAGGACATTTGTTGAGTCTTTGAATTTCTATGACATAACTACGTATCTGCCTCCTGTATAGACTTCAGGCTGATTAAGGGTTTATTCTTCTTTTGGAATGTGCTTTTGAAAAACCTTGTATTTTTTCGTAAACATAAATATGGCCTTGTTCTAAATGAAGATTAGTTCATTTTGTTGATTTGCTTGTTGAAGTAACATGTTATGTTTTTGGTCCTTGCAGTGCAGAACCCTAATGACAGATAACAATCAAAATGACAGTTTAATGTCAGTTGGTAGTTCGTTCGGAAAGCTTCCTGATCATCTGCTAATAGAAATTTTTATCCGAGTTCCTGTCTCAGAGTGGGCACAAATCTCCTGTGTTAAAAAGCAGTGGGCCAATTTGTTTCGCGGAGAATTCTTGTGGCAAGCTGCTCTTGCTATGACATTTCCTTTGGCTAGCCGAGCTAAAAGGTGGCCAGGACCTATCCCTCGAGGATTGAGCAAGAGGTATAATAGCATTTCTACTTCCAGTTTTTGTCCAATCTTGGTCCTTTCTTTCTATTCTTAACTTTTCAATCCCACTTTTTTTTCTCTCTTTTTGTAATTCCTTACGTCAGAGTTTTTATATTTTGTTGTTTTGGAAAAAAAAAATGCACTATAATCACTGACGATATAATCGTTGCCTTGAGGACAAATTCCTTTTCCTGTTTTAACTTCCCGCTTGAAAATAAACCAAACGACAACTTTTGGCCTAGTTTGATTTGTTGGCATCTTATTTAAAGATCATGTTATGACTTGTGTCTGGATGTTTGTGGATTCATATCTTAAACTGGTAGCTCTTACTCTCCCCTAGGTGCTGATTTGATGCATGTGCTTTTCGTCAAATATCCATGCATTATATTCTAAGGCACTGGCAATTTTCGCAGGAGATTTGAAGCTTTATATGTCAGTAAACATATTTTTGCTCTAGATGGTGAGATTGATGAGATCGTGGGCCATAGTTATTTGTTTCTAAAAGAGCAGCTTGAGCGTTCAACCATGCCACCCTCTTCCAGTATACTGCACGGAACCCTCATAGGTGTGTTTCAAATTTCACTTCTCTATCTTGCTTTCTCAAGTCTGCCTTCATAAACTTGAAACTGAAAATTATTCTGTGAAATGAATATTTATGATTTGAGTACCGATCCTCGATCTCAAATTTGATGAACAAAAGTTAATATAAGCTAGTTAATCTTGCTTTTGCGGCTAACTTGTCGACATGTTCAAAACATTTGCTTTACATAACACGAAAGTGTAGGAGTTTACAGCCTCAAATTGTATGCCATTTATTGGAACACATCTTGAACCTTTTATCGTTTACTGTCACGTGACATGGATAGTACATATTGCATACCAAATCCAATGGGGAATTTCATTGCTCACGCTTAGTTAAATTAATACCAGGCTGTAAATCTCATCTGACCTCCTGACCTGGGATTGCTGTGTGTTTTAGCAGATCAGTTTATTGCTTGTGGGAAATCGAGAGACATGGCTCATGATCTTGCTTCCCAGATCTGGCTGGCTGTTCTTGACAATTTAGAGGAAAACGAGCAAACTTTTCAATTACTTAAACGTCTTGCACAAGAAGCCGATGTAAGTTTATAAAGTTATACTCATTACTATACTTGCTATAACAACTGTCGAAATGCAGAGCATACAAACATGAAAAAGCATATATCGTTGCTGCAACATGTTTATTTACTTTGACGCCGTGGTGCTAATAGATTCCGAATGAGCAGGTTTTTCTTCCGTACCCGTACTCAAGATCGATCAAAGTCCAATGGAGGGTGTTTGAAAAACTCTTCACAGATTTTCGCGACTGCTTCAATCATGTAGATTACTATGATGTGTTGGCTTGTGCGAAGAACAAGTTTCAGCCAATACCATCGACTTGGTTAGGTTACTGATCAACCTCAAATGTTACTATTGCCTGTGCCTCGCGGGCTATCTCATCTTGAAGACAACCGCCGTGGCTGTACCATGCTTGATAGGATTAGAAAGAAACTGATTATATTTGTACTGTTAATAGGTGCATGATTCATCAATGTGAAAAAGAATGACCATGTAACTTTTTTCTTTTCATTGTGAAAATGCCCATATTACTAAGGATAATACTTGCATATCTCAGCTCTTGCAAACAATGTGTTTTTACCGTAAATATTTTATAATTAGAATTAGGGAACTTTAATGAAAAGCATCCGGTACTGTTCACTTTAACGAAAAATCACATTTTTACACTAAAAAGTCAATCCTGGTACTATTCACTTTACCCTTTATTTTGTCCTTATCATTAAAACTCAAAATTGTCAAGCCCTTTTTATTAGTTTTCCTTTAAAATTATTCAATTTGTTGATCTTCATTTAAAGATCAATCCTACAAAATTATTCAAATCGAAAATCGTTTAACTTATCAAATGTATGAAACAAAATTGAGTGTATTACTATTCCTTTCCTATTTTCCAATTAAATGTATAAGATATCATCTCTATCGAATTTCAACAAAATTACTACTAATAATTATCTTTTGGGTTTTTATCACAAATAGTCCCTGAGGTTGACCAAACTCAATATTTTGGTCCCTCACTTTCAGCAGAATCAATCAATGTCGTCCCTAACATTCACTATCTCACATCAATTTGGTCCTTCTATTAAGATTTCGTCAACTACTCTGTTAGTTTGTATGTGGGATCCACAAATCCAATAAAATGGTGGCACGTGGATTTACACAAAATAAAGGTTTTTATTGCAAATAGTCCCTAACATTGATTCAACTCCTCATTTTGGTCCTTAAGTTTCAAAAATCGATAAATTTGGTCCCTTGACTTTCACTACGCATATTTAGTCCTTCCATTAAAATTTCATCAATATTTTTCGTTTGTGTGCTAATGTGGTCCCAGTAATCCAATCATATGGCTCCACATGGATTAAAAAAAAAACTTTTGTTTTTTAGGAGTGAACAAATGAATGAGTATTCCGCACTGACATTTTTCTCGCATCCCACAACCCCAATTGGAAGAAAAAAAATCAACTAAATTCGATAAAATTGAACCAAATTTAATAGGATTATAACCAACTAGAGAGAATAAAGAGTGAGTTCAGTAGGGCAAGTACTTTAGTGGTGTCATGGTGTCTTCCTTTTCTTTTTTAGCATACCCTGATTAAAATGACGACTTTTTTTTTCTTTTAGTTTTGATTTTTAGTTTCTTATTTTACTTTTAGTTTTAAATCATAAGAAAATAGTTTCTTGTAGTTAATCCACGTGGCATGATTGGATTACTGGGACAAAAAATATTGACAAAACTTTAATAAAAAGATTAAATTGACGTGTGGTATTGAAAGTCAGAGACCAAATTTATCGATTTTTGAAACTCAATGACCAAAATGAGGAGTTGGATCAATATTAGGGACCATGTGCGATAAAAACCCTTCTTTTGTGACATCCATATGTCACAATTTCATTGGATTTGTGGATCCCACATACAAACTAACAGAATAGTTGACAGAATTTTAACAGAATGACCAAATTGATGTACGGTAGTGAATGTCAGAGACGACATTGATTTTTTTTTTTTTGGTCAATGAGACGACATTGATTAATTTTGAAAGTAAGAGACCAAAATAATGAGTTTGATCAATCTTAGAGATTATTTGTGATAAAAACCCTTATCTTTTTAGGTTCCATTTTTTGCTGAGATGAATGAAAAGTCACCGTTTGGCCCCTTATACACCAATTGCTTAAATAAGTTTTGTGCTCCATACTTGGCAAATCCGTTGTAGTCTAGTTGGTCAGGATACTCGGCTCTCACCCGAGAGACCCGGGTTCAAGTCCCGGCAACGGAACCATTTTTTATGTTCTTATATTTTTAAAGATAATGGGTTGGCCCATGTCGGTATCATAAATTGGCCCCATGTATTTGAGACCCACAGAATCATGAGAAGTAATACCCTTTGCCTTTTTTTTTCTTCGAAATAGTAACTCCCCGATATTTATGTACTTGTCATGTTCTAATTTATTTTGTAGTTGTAATTTTTCTTGGTTCTCAAAAGTGTTGAGTTTTCTAAAGTTTCATGTTTATCAAGGACTTACAAGTGAACAGTTCTCAAAATTTAAATAGTTGTTATTAACACTCTAAATTACATTGCTACCATATATAATAGTCTGAGTTAAGGCTTAAAAACTTACCTAGAGGATTTTAAGTCATAATTCAAAAACTTTTTTCTTTCTCCATGATGATGGCGTAAAATTTAAGCCATTGATTATAAAAGAATGATTAAAATAAAATTTATGTAGATTATCTTAACTTATTTTTATGAACATTTTAATTTAAAAATATTTAAATTTCGATAAATCATGAAAAATCACACCCTAGATAGGTATTTTATACTTTTTAGGTTAAATTTGAGTTAAATGAAAGTTTTAATTGTTTTAGCCTTTAGATTTAAATTTGTGTTTTACAGTTATATTTAATCACATTTAATAGCAACCGTTGGATTATAAGTAAAAATAAATATAAACAAAGTTTGAGTATAACCATTAGATCAACCAATGATCATATTTTTTTGGACCGTTGATCAGCCAATGGCTCTATTTTAGAGTGGCTGATAGACCTGTCTGCATGGGCGCCGCCATTCTTTCATTTGGTGTGTGAAGCGCGTCTCATGTGTTAGTGTGGGGCATTGGGGTCTGAGTCCGAGTAAATTAAAGTCTGACTTTATTCTTGGGTGTAATATGGCCCATAAATTTTCCCTCATGGGTTATTAAACCTAGTGATTTCAAATGGCTTGGGTAGGTTAAAGCTTAAATTTTAAGCTTTAATCCTCACCAAAATGATCCGGACAGGATCTTGTTGGATGGAAGTGGAGAGAGGATCCTTGCCGGATCCTCCAATCGTATTCATTTATCATACATTATGCGATCAGTTTTCGTCAGGTACTATTTATATTCAATTTTAAATAAAAAAAATTACAATAATTTATGACCGCATGATGAACATATGTGATTTGAGAATCCTTGGGATTCTCACAAAAAGGATCCGGTGAGGATGCTCACTAAGTGGAGAGTGTCTCTCTAACTGCATATGTTGGAAAATGCAGCTTGAGAAAAGGTCATCACTTCAAAAGCTTCCACCAGCCAGATGAACAAATGAGGCATAATATTCATGATGGGTTGGACGCTGCAATTCGCTCACTCATAGCACATGTTTAGGCTTTCAAACTGAGTTTGTGGTAATGGTAATTATTATAGAAGAACAATTGTTGAATATATCATTAGGGTCGGTACTCAGGGTAGTTGGAATAGACGCCGCCTAAAACTCCCGATCAAGGGAGCTCTTAAAAAAGAATTTATGTTGGAGTATGATAAATAGAAAACAAGTCGATGCAATTGTGTTCTTTTCTTAGTAACCAAATTTCTTTAGGTTCAAATATGTATAAACATGTCCAAAAATATGTTTTATTTGTTCTGAATCCATCACTTTATTATAGAAGATACTATTAAAAAAAGAGTAATACAAGTAAGAGATAAATTCATTATCTATGACATTTACCTATACCATGCTTTACCCAAATGATCAAGAGAATTAAAAAAAAAAAAACCAATAGAAGCATAGAAAGCAAGTATAATTCTTTTTGGGTTGATTTCCAACCTAACCTATAAACCCTAGGTGCCAGACTCTCAGTCTTCAGATTCGTCGTAATGTTGCTCTCACTCAACGGCCCTTTTTAATAACTCGCCTGGGTTCACAAAAATCTCAGGGCCAACATTGTAAATCATGGATCAATGACAATATTGAATATCAAACTAAAAGATAAATCATTACGGTTCTTTAGTATTACTAGTTATAACATGTTAAGGATGCAATGCGTTTATCTAGTTAGAACATGTTAAGGATGTAGTGTGATTTTTTAGTTCTTCCTCCGATATCTTAATGAAAGTTTTGTGCACATGATATGTGTTGCCATATCTTTGTTGGTCCATTTTCAATTAAATTGTCAATTCGAGTTATTTCTTTCCTAAACAAGCACATATTTCATGAGATGAGTTAATCACATGAATGTAGCCCATTACTCATAAAATTCTAATACACCATGCTCTTGGCATGAAATTGGAATGAACATAACCTTTTATTGCACAAACCCAATCAATCTCAATGGAACGAAAAACACTGATACAAATTCATCACGTGTGAAGCTTGTGTTATATGTGTAACTTACAATTTTAACACGTAACAAACATTAATTTAGTAAATAACACTATTAGAACTGATTGCAAAAGAAAATCTCTCCAATAAATACATAACAACGCATGTTTCAAATTTTTAGTTTGCCTTTTCCTTTTATTGACTGGGAGTTGACTAATTCACCGACAGTCAAATTACCATACGCTTTCACTTCATATCAAATTCACCACAATATTTTTTTTCTCATGTCAAAAAGGGGCATGAAATGAAAGGATGCCCATTTTTGTAAAGCGAACGAGGGTAAATATGTAATTTCACGACCTCCTCGATGCACAAATTAAACCCACTTTTGCGCGGCTTTTTTAGCGGAGAGCTGGCGTGTTTAGGACAAAATTAAAATTATTATTCTCTGTACGAGGGCCTGACAGAAGTGTCTAGTAATACTGGTGTCCACCGCCCTGCGTACCCTCTTGAATTTCGAGCTCTTCCCACTTCCCACAAAACTCCAAAACCCAACACTTCGATTAAAACCGAAGCTCATTAAGTTAAAAATTAAATCATCCCAAATCATTTTATCAAATAAAATCAAGGGAAAAGGGAATTCATTTAATGAAACTTTTTTAAAGGCGAAAAGATGGTAATGCAACAATTTATTGCTCACGGTAAAGCACTTTGCATTGTTCCCAAACAGTGCTCTCACTCGCTCCTCTCTCTGCACATTTTTTGCTTTTCTGGGTTGCAGGGCTGTTAGCTGGAAGCCCTTTTCTTTTTCTCCACATTTGGAGATTTGGGGTTTCTGAGGGGCTTCGGTTGGAAAGAGATGCACCTGGATCTTCTGGGATTTTGATGGGTGATGATCTAGCTTTTGGGTACTAAAGGTTTAAACTTTTCAGTATTTTGGGCTTTTTAGGAGTTGGAATTTCGTGGTACTTTT